TACTTCGTACTCTTCATCTGTCAACTTCAATCAAGCAGATTATCTGCATGCAAACAGAGAAGAAAATATCACCAAACACAATTCATTTTAAAATTCATTCTGTTGTTACTTGGTAATCAGCAGCTTATTGTGAAACTCATTTTCACACCAGAAAACAAAAGCCAAGAACAAAGATGCCTCCCATATTAGAGCATATTTTAATTTAAAGCCACATGAAACCCAAAAACAAAAATCTAATACTGTATATTGCAATTTACCAATCATTTAGCCTGGGTTCGCACTGAGGCAGTGTGGAATTTGCACCGGTTTCTGTGCGAATTCCGCACCGCATCATAATCATACCCCCTCCACGCGAACCGCTACGGGTGTGTATGTTATGCTAACAACACCTCGAAATCGGTTTGCAAGACACGGTGCGTTGTGCAGAATCAGATCACATGAGTGTGAATACACATGCGATCCTATTCTAGTGCAAACAAAAAAAAAGGGGTCCTGCACTTTTTGGTGTGGATGTGGTGTGATTTGAGCCATACACTGAATATATGTAATGACAAGGGGTGGTGAGGTGTGCTGGAGGGTCTAATGATACTGACTGCTGGGGGATCTATTGTTACTGGGGGGTTTTTTTTATGGGGGGGAAAGTGTATTGTTGCTAATGGAGAATCTATATGTTGCTGGAAGGGTCTATTGATGTTGTCTGCTAAGAAATCTATTGTTGCTGGCTGGGGTATATTGTTGTTGATGGATCTATTGTTGCTGGGTGTCTATTTTTGCTGGCTGCAGGGGACCTATTTTACTGCTTTTCTTGTTATTATTAACAAAATCCTTACAAACTAATTAGCACCACAAAATGATACTTTGTTCTATATTCCCTAATAGGGGTAGTACTGGGAAGCAGGTAGGGGTGGAACCAAGGGATTGATTTTGGAGGTAGGTAGGGGCTGGAGACAAGGGGTGACTTATTAGGGGGCAGTACCTGCACCTATTCCCTGAGAAAAAAAGCCCTGCTTTCACCAAATGTTCTGGTGACATCTATGAAATCTTGGATTTCCCATCACTTTTTGTTCCTGTTATAATGATCGCCAGGGAAAATAGAGAGGGTAAATAACCCCCGTAGGGACACACACAGTGAAAACATGACAAGGGGTGTTTAATCCCTTGTCACAAGTTTTAAAAAAAAACCTGTCTTTAGCTGCACTTATAAAAAGTTGTACATGCTACATCTACTGTATTTTTTTTAAGAAATGACAAGTTGGCTTTAGGTGTCAATAGTTTATCTAAAAAGCCGAGGATTACGTATGTGCGATCTACGCATGTTTATGTGCGCAAGTCTTACAGCATACAGTCGTGACACATCCATTTCAATTGTTACACCTTACGTCCACCAATCTACAAAAGCGAAGATGTTCTTCATCATTTCATCAAGAATGTTTTCACACCCCGGAGAGTGCATGCTATAGAGATTAATCTAAGATCCAAAGATGTGATCACACTTTTAAATTGTGTAGCTCTGAAATGCTATTGACACCAAGACATGACTGACGATATTCTTTAAAAAATAACTTAGTAGTGATGTGTTTTTCATGACACTATGCATGTAAATGTAAAGCCGGACTATAGCTATAGGACAAATCTGATACTGTACAGTGGTACCAAGGTGTAAAATAAATATTGTAACATTTTTTAGAACGTTATTCCTTACATTTTTTTTGTACAGGCTCAGTGCCACAAGGGTCTGTCTATGATTGTCTACTGCTAATAATGGAATGTTCACAAGGGTCTGTCTACGATTGTCTACTGCTAATAATGGAATGTTCACAAGGGTCTGTCTATGATTGTCTTCTGCTAATAATGGAATGTTCACAAGGGTCTGTCTACGATTGTCTACTGCTAATAATGGAATGTTCACAAGGGTCTGTCTATGATTGTCTTCTGCTAATAATGGAATGTTCACAAGGGTCTGTCTACGATTGTCTACTGCTAATAATGGAATGTTCACAAGGGTCTGTCTACGATTGTCTATTGCTAATAATGGAATGTTCATAAGGGTCTGTCTACGATTGTCTACTGCTAATAATGGAATGTTCACAAGGGTCTGTCTACGATTGTCTACTGCTAATAATGGAATGTTCACAAGGGTCTGACTATGATTGTCTACTGCTAATAATGGAATGTTCACAAGGGTCTGTCTACGATTGTCTACTGCTAATAATGGAATGTTCACAAGGGTCTGTCTACGATTGTCTACTGCTAATAATGGAATGTTCACAAGGGTCTGTCTACGATTGTCTACTGCTAATAATGGAATGTTCACAAGGGTCTGTCTACGATTGTCTACTGCTAATAATGGAATGTTCACATGGGTCTGTCTACGATTGTCTACTGCTAATAATGGAATGTTCACAAGGGTCTGTCTACGATTGTCTACTGCTAATAATGGAATGTTCACAAGGGTCTGTCTACGATTGTCTACTGCTAATAATGGAATGTTCACAAGGGTCTGTCTACGATTGTCTACTGCTAATAATGGAATGTTCACAAGGGTCTGTCTACGATTGTCTACTGCTAATAATGGAATGTTCACAAGGGTCTGTCTACGATTGTCTACTGCTAATAATGGAATGTTCACAAGGGTCTGTCTACGATTGTCTACTGCTAATAATGGAATGTCCAAAAGGGTCTGTCTACGATTGTCTACTGCTAATAATGGAATGTTCACAAGGGTCTGTCTACGATTGTCTACTGCTAATAATGGAATGTTCACAAGGGTCTGTCTACGATTGTCTACTGCTAATAATGGAATGTTCACATTGTGGATTCACTTACTTGAAATGTAGAGATGCATTTTGATGTATTCATTGGAGCACTGAGATTATGACTGCAGTGCTCTTAGGCAATCTGTGTAATAACAATTTATATACTTATCCCAATTTAAATTCTCCACATTTATACATTTTAATTAATCTTTGCTTATTGTATATCTGTTAAAGTTATAGTAAAGGTTTTTTTTTTTTTTTAAAAATAGCGTGTCGTACTTACCTGCAAGATAGCAGCCCTGATCCTCCTCTTCTCAATTCCCCCTACTGGTGCTCCTGACTCCTCCCCCTTCACCAGTGTCCCCAATAGAAAGCAGTTGGCTATGCGGGCACTGGTGCCTTCTCGCTCCTGAACCCTGCTCTATGCACCCATAAGACACAGAGCAGCAGCTCGGTCCCACTCTCTTCACTGGCTGTGATTGGCAGCATTGGGATCCAATGGCTCCCGCTATGTCTCAGCCAATGAGAGATCCAGGACAGCTAAAGCTCCTGTGCACATCACTGGATCAAGAGGGGGCTCAGGTAAGTACTAGGGGGGTTGTGAGGGGTGCTGTACACAGAAGGGTGTTAACCATCATGCATAGAATGTATGAAGGTAGAAACCTTCAGCCTTTACAGCGACTTTAACTTTAACACTGGAAATTGGGGAACATAGACACTCTTAATAAAAAGAGCAACACTGATTGATGTAGGAATACATTCAAGCAGCAGGAGTAATATAAATAAATCTGTCTAGAAGGGCAAGAGACCCACTTTTTTTCCTTTGCTGCACTTGCTATGCTCATGCACATAGGTCTTGACCCTTCCCCAACCCACCATTGAACAGTAGTAGGAGAAGCAGAAGACTGATGAGCTCATCTTCTGATGTAACCTCCAATTAGCACACATGCATGGCATCATATTGATGTGCCATCCTGGAGGAGTTGGACTGCCTATGCAAACACTGTAGGGTCCAGGTATCGCCTCATGCTACCAGTAGTGACACTGACCCTAGCCAAATGCAAAACTAGTGAAAAACATTCAGAAAAGATGAGTAGGGAAAAAAATGTCAGTGGCCTCCACCTGTAAAACCATTCCTGTTTTGGGAGTCATCTCATTGTTGCCCATCTAGTGCACCTGTTGTTCATTTCATTAATACCAAAGCAGCTGAAACTGATTAACAACCCCCTCTGCTACTTAACTGACCAGATCAATCTCCCAGGAGCTTCATTGACTTGATGCTATACTCTGATTAAAAAATGTTCCTTTAATTTTTTTGAGTAGTGTATATTGAGCTACATTCTTTTGTGTATTTTATATTCTTTTGTGTATTTTATATATGCCTTTATCTGCTATTTTAATGTTGGCACTATGTGAATACTATGAATATTAGAATAGTGTTTTGCATATATTTTCTTTATTGTAGTCAGGATTAAACAATACCGTTTTAAAATGTTATTTCTTTTTAGCTAGGTAAATATGAAATTTTGCACAGCTGGTTGCACAGTCAGTACTACTTCTCTAGCATTTCACCAACTTGACTCTCTGCTGTGTCATGAACAGCCAATGCTGTGAATACACTTGATTAGCAGGAGATCAAATTACACATGAACAACCAAATGAGTGAAAGGTGGGACACTTCCTCTCTCTCAGCAGATACAGACCCATATAGACTTTTAATTCATAAGCAAACAACAGCTGGGATTTCTTAATAATTAGCCCTGCATGTTCACCTAGATATATTTCATGCAAACACAAATTTGCATTTAGTATTCATTTGTAAAATAAAGTTTTCATGCACATAAATAAAACCTTTACAAAGATAGTTTATTACATTTGTGAACAAAAAAAAGTTTTAATAAAAAATGAAATATTGTTTAAAAGAACCCTTCAAACTAAATACAAGTGGGTCTTCACAGTGCCTCGAGAATGGACTGCAGACTCTCTCTAGTCATTTTATGTTGCTGCATGATAACATTAAAATCATAAAATCATTGCTGTTCTCACATGTTCTCAGACTTAAAGTGACCGTAAACGTTTGTTAAAAAAACCCCAAAAATTATATATATATATATATATATATATATATATATATATATATATATATATATATATATATAAAATGGGACATCCCTCCAAATCATTGGATTCAGGTGTTCCAATCACTTCCATGACCACAGGTGTATAAAATCAAGTACCTAGGCATGCAGACTGCTTCTACAAACATCTGTGAAAAAAATGGGTCGCTCTCAGGAGCTCAGTGAATTCAAGTGTGGTACCATGATAGTTTGCCACCTGTGCAATAAGTCCATCCATGAAATTTCCTTGCTACTAAATATTCCATGGTCAACTGTTAGTGGTATTATAACAAAATGTAAGCACCTGGGAACAACAGCAATTCAGCCACGAAGTGGTAGGCCAAATAAAATGAAAGAGCAGGGTCAGCACATGCTGAAGTGCACAGTGCGTAGAAGTTGCCAACTGTCTGCAGAGTCAATAGCTAAAGACCTCCAAACTTTGAGTGGCCTTCAGATTAGCACAACAACAGTGTGTAGAGAGCTTCTTGAAATGGGTTTCCATGGCCGAGCAGCTGCATCCAAGCCTTACATCACCAAGTGCAATACAAAGCGTCAGATGCAGTGGTGTAAACACGCCACCACTGGACTCTAGAGCAGTGGAGATCTGTTCTCTGGAGTGACCAATCACGCTTCTCTGTCTGGCAATTTGATGGATGTGTCTGGGTTTGGCAGTTGCCAGGAGAATGGTACTTGCTGACTGCATTGTGCCAAGTGTAAAGATTGGTGGAGGGGGGGATTAAGCAAGGTCCATAAAGACATGGATGAGCGAGTTTGGGTTGGAGGGCTGGTGTTTTTTTTTTCCCCTCTGCCTTCAAACGTCCTTACATGTTAACGTATGTGTTCATGCACACAAACGTTTAGAGGCAAAAAAACTGCCAGTGCATCCAGGAGCAGCAGCATTTTGGCAACAAAACACTTGACATGTGTAAATGTATCTAAATGTGCAGTAACGCTAGGCGCATAAATTATTATTATGGCCAATGAAATGTACTAACGCCCAAGCACTTGATGCCTAAACATGCGTTTACAAGTCTCAAGTGGTTTTTTTTGCCAAAACAATACTTCCAGGAGGAGAGACATCTAGGAGATATGGGCAAATCCCTGTGTGCATGAGGCCTATGGCATAGCTCCCAACTGTCCCTGATTTGGAACAAAATCCCTCTGTCCCTCTTTCTTCCTCTATTTTTTGTATAATTCTCCTTTAAGGGGCCATGGCAAGGGGTGTGTACTATGCCTACATACTTTTGCTAAAAGGTGTCCCTTGTTTCCATCTGAAAAAGTTGGGAGGTATGCTATGGGTTAACTGAAATGTTAGATAAATAAATTTCAGTTTGAGCTATTGCATATGGTACACAACAGGAGTTATACCTCTCCAAGAAAATATAAATCCCCGCTTTTATTGAATCTCCTAGAAAAATGTTATAATCCCTTCTTAATATTGGATTTCACCAACAGGTGGAGCACAAAGTGATATGTGGCCTTTTGTCTTAATCAAATTCAGGGTAATGTTAGAGGGAGACCTCTTACAGCACAAACATTTTAAAAGGGTTTTTTTTTTTTTACGTATTCCTGGAAATTATTTTACAGTTATTATTATTATTATTATTATTAAAAGGTATGTATGTAGCGCCATCAATTTCCGCAGCACTTTACATATACAGTCAGGTCCATAAATATTGGGACATCAACACAATTCTAACATTTTTGGCTCTATACACCACCACAATGGATTTGAAATGAAACAAACAAGATGTGCTTTAACTGCAGACTGTCAGCTTTAATTTGAGGATATTTACACCCAAATCAGGTGAACGGTGTAGGAATTACAGCAGTTTGCATATGTGCCTCCCACTTGTTAAGGGACCAAAAGTAATGGGACAATTGACTTCTCAGCTGTTTCATGGCCAGGTGTGTGTTATTCCCTCATTATCCCAATTACAATGAGCAGATAAAAGGTCCAGAGGTCATTTCAAGTGTGCTATTTGCATTTGGAATCTGTTGCTGTCAACTCTCAAGATGAGATCCAAAGAGCTGTCACTATCAGTGAAGCAAGCCATCATTAGGCTGAAAAAACAAAACAAACCTTTCAGAGAGATAGCAAAAACATTAGGCGTGGCCAAAACAACTTTTTGGAACACTCTTAAAAAGAAGGAACACACCGGTGAGCTCAGCAACACCAAAAGACCCGGAAGACCACGGAAAACAACTGTGGTGGATGACCGAAGAATTCTTTCCCTGGTGAAGAAAACACCCTTCACAACAATTAGCCAGATCAGGAACACTCTCCAGGAGGTAGGTGTATGTGTGTCAAAGTCACCAATCAAGAGAAGACTTCACCAGAGTGAATACAGAGGGTTCACCACAAGATGGAAACCATTGGTGAGCCTCAAAAACAGGAAGGCCAGATTAGAATTTGCCAAACGACATCTAAAAAAGCCTTCACAGTTCTGGAACAACATCCTATGGACAGATGAGACCGAGATCAACTTGTACCAGAGTGATGGGAAGAGAAGAGTATGGAGAAGGAAAGGAACTGCTCATGATCCTAAGCATACCACCTCATCAGTGATGCATGGTGGTGGTAGTGTCATGGCGTGGGCATGTATGGCTGCCAATGGAACTGGTTCTCTTGTATTTATTGATGATGTGACTGCTGACAAAAGCAGCAGGATGAATTCTGAAGTGTTTCGGGCAATATTATCTGCTCATATTCAGCCAAATGCTTCACAACTCATTGGACGCCGCTTCACAGTGCAGATGGACAATCACCCAAAGCATACTGCAAAAGCAACCAAAGAGTTTTTTAAGGGAAAGAAGTTGAATGTTATGCAATGGCCAAGTCAATCACCTGACCTGAATCCGATTGAGCGTGCATTTCACTTGCTGAAGACAAAACTGAAGGGAAAATGCCCCAAGAACAAGCAGGAACTGAAGACAGTTGCAGTAGAGGCCTGGCAGAGCATCACCAGGGATGAAACCCAGCGTCTGGTGATGTCTATGCGTTCCAGACTTCAGGCTGTAATTGACTGCAAAGGATTTGCGTCCAAGTATTAAAAAGTGAAAGTTTGATTTATGATTATTATTCTGTCCCATTACTTTTGGTCCCTTAACAAGTGGGAGGCACATATGCAAACTGTTGTAATTCCTACACCGTTCACCTGATTTGGATGTAAATACCCTTAAATTAAAGCTGACAGTCTGCAGTTAAAGCACATCTTGTTCGTTTCAATTCAAATCCATTGTGGTGGTGTATAGAGCCAAAAATGTTAGAATTGTGTTGATGTCCCAATATTTATGGACCTGACTGTATATTGTACATTCACATCAGTCCCTAACCCTCAAGGGCTGTACAATCTAAAATCCCTAACTTACATCCACACATACACATACTAGGGCCAGTTTAGACAGGAGCCAATTAACCTACCGGCATGTCTTTGGAGTGTAGGAGGAAACCAGAGTATCCAAAGGAAACCCACGCAGGCACAGGGAGCACATGCAAACTCCAGGCAGGTGGTGCCTTGGTTGGGATTTGAACCAATGACCCTAGTACTGCCAGGTGGAAGTGCTAACAATTTAGCCCCTGTGCTGCCCAGCTAATGGACATCGTTAATTCGGAGGACTTAAGTCTATGCTTCATGCCAGTTTTACTAAATCCCAGTTAAAATAAATGCCTGTCAACACTTTCCCTTTAACACAGTTGAAAACCTACCGCCAAAGTGGCTCATGCATTCAATATTATGCCTGCAGGAACAGTGCAGATTTTGCTTATATGAAGTGCAACATGAGTCAGTACTAAATGTTCTGTTGGCACTGCCTGCAGCGGATATAGTCATAAATAAAATATGTATAATGTGCCATGCAGCTGTACCTTCCAGACCTTCTTTCCCTATCTAAATCCAGATTACTCCTTGGTAAATGACAGGATACTAAAACATATGCATCTCTTCCAATTAGCCTAACAAACTAGTGAATACTTATGTCTGACCTCCCAACAAACCTAAATTCTAACAAACATGTCCATATTCTGAAGAACTACACTTTTTCAATGAGACCAAATGCTGGCAATTAGGTAATAAAGGTGTCCTGGCACACAACATGCGATAAGTTTGTGGTCTTGGCCAAAAGTAGTTATATTGAAGACTAGCATTCATAGGGATGGGTTGCAGTAATGGGCAGCACAGTGGTTTTCAGTGTGTTGCACTCTTGCTGTGCAGTTAAAGTGATTCTAAACACACACTGTGTAATTTCACATTATACTTATATATATCGATGATGGCACCGTATTTATTTTAATTAAAAAAACCCTCTAAGTGCCTTTTTTCATAATCACTATACAGCTGTCACGAGGCCCACCTCCGCTACTAGTCATGTTAGAAAAAAAACAGCTTTCAAAATAATATCAAATAAAAGGTTAATCATCATACAAACTGGAACTCAAATAGTGATATGTTTGTGCAAAAACATGGTGTGGGCTATCTAGGGGGAGAATCTGCTAATCATATCCTGTTTCATGCACCTCCTGTCTGTGTCTATTATTTGTTAGTGTTTAAAATTACAGGGAGGTGAAGCCTCCATCAATCAACATGTAATGTCCCACCCCCATGGAGAGAGTGGGCTGTCATTTATCCACAGTAAAAGCAGAGCTGTGTCATCAAAAAGGCATCTGAGTACACAACAGGACATATAATAGACAAAACTAATGCTAGCAGTATAAAGGAGCTAACCTACCAATTGGCCTACATACTGCCAACCATTTCCTTTCACTGTGTAATCAGCCTCATTCATCATTATTTACCTTCTGAAAGGAAACAGGCTCAATGTGCTAAGCTTTTTATACCACTTTATAAGTTCAGAGAAGGTTGTTGCATTTACAGAAACATGAAAATCAAAGGCAGCTGAATAACACGATGTGGAAAGGAGTCATTTCAGGTGTACTGAGTGTTCCATGTGAGTAACCCTGTTTTAGTTATAGCTGATCTAGATTAAAATGTGCTGGCTTTCTAACATAGACAGGATACAAATGTGTCATTGCATCACACAACGTAAACATTAACATTACGCTCTTTTAAAGATTGGTGAAATTTCTCCAGAATCGTGGAATTTTTCTTCATAACATACTGTATCTCTGTTCATCGTATGGAAGAGTATATTAAATCACACTATACACAGCAAGCCAAGCCAGTAGCCATTTCCATTGGACATCCCTTAACCCTGCATATTTCTGATTTAGCAAAAATTAGAATTAAGCACCCTTACCTAAGGTTTTGGATTTATTTCCCATTAGGAACACTGCCTGTATGCAATACACTGATCTCTATTTATTTCTACACTGAACAGTCTATTAAGGGGAGGCATGCTGCACTTTATTTTTCTCAGTGGGTACTGACACCTGCAATACCACATTAGTATTTTCCAGCACCAAAATCGTAATGGTAGGTGTTGGTGAAGGAGTGCTAATATTTTATACCATTGTTTCAAACTCTAGATAAGTAAGGTATGCACTTTTAGGGGTTAATTTAGTGTTGGGCTTTAACCACTTTACGCCCGCCCGCAATGCTTTGTAGGAAAAATGACATACGGGTGATGGCACCA